AATATATATATATATATATATATATTATTTGTGATTATATGTAGATGATCACAAACTGATCAACATAGCGAGAACACACACACCCACACAGGAAAAGATTCTTCCTAAAAAATGAAAGAATTTTCTCCCCTGAGGTGGTCAGACTGGGAGGCACTGTTGAGTTTTGTCTAGAGACCAGATCAGTGCACTCCCAGGGTGCAGCTGCTGCAAGTCCCCAGAGGGAAGTTCTGGTGATAGGGATCAGGACTAATCAGCCTTTGGGACCTTTGGGGTGGTATCTGTTCTGGAGAGGTTAGACCAACCCACCTTAGGCCTTCACAGATGCCGGGCTCTGCTGGGAGTCTGGATCTCGGAGCTCCTGAGGGTTCTACTTGAGGGACAGGTGAGCCACCCCTCTCAGGTCCCACATGGTACTGCCCAAGACGCAGTCTTGCCAGGCTTAGTCCCTGAGCTATGTCCCATCAACAGGTCTGGTTTCCTGGCCCTCTTCAGCTGCTCAGCCCCCAGGCTCCAAGGGGAAGTGAGCTGCACTCTCCTCCTTTCTGACTCGCACTCCCCTGGGTCCAGTCTCCTCTGTGCCCTGTCACTTGTGTTCTGCTAGGTACACCCTAGGCCACATTGTGGCGCTTGCCAGGACAACAGGGCAGTGTTGGCTCCGCGCTCTAGCTCCCTTAGCAAGCTGCAGGGAGGCCCCTGCCTCCACTCTCTGTAGCAGGTTGGGAAACAGGGCGCCTGGCCAACCAGTTTACTGTGCCGCCTCTGGATCCCCTGAGTCCAGGCTGTATGTGATTTTCAGGTTTTCCTGTGCCAGATCTGTCCATTGTGCTTCTCTCCATGTTTTCCCTCACCTTGGTGAACCAGCCTTGCTGCTGCTGCAACAGCTTGGCCCCAATGTGCTCTTTCTTATTTGAGGAGGTGGGGTACTGGGCATCGAACTCAGGGGCACTAACCACTGAGCCACATCCCCAGCCCTTTTCTGTATTTTATCTAGAGACAGGGTCTCTCTTTTGCTGAGGCTGGCTTTGAACTCATGATCCTCCTGTCTCAGCCTCCTGAACCTCTGAGATTACAGACATGTGCCACTGCACCCAACGTGCTCTTTCTTGTTCTTTGTTGAATGCACTGAATTTCTGAGTCTCTAAGAGACTGACTGTCCAATATTGAATTTGAGTGAATTCCCTCTTTCACCCACCTAACTGAGAAGCAGTACTCCCCCTGCTGGGATCCCCAGCCATGGAGCGACTGGAAATGCAGCCTCCCTCTAGTCAGCCATCATGTAGTGCCACCGTCTTTACTGTACATCTTCAAAATTTCTTAACAGATGAAGCTTGTGGAAACAGAATGCAAAGCACTAAATTTCTTCCATTATTATGGTAATATAAGAATAACATAAAATCTATCATTTTAAAACTTTCTGGGTGTACAATTTAGTGTCATTGAGGACATTTACATTGTGTGTAACAGTCACCACCATCCTGCCCCTTCTCCACAGACACTCTGTCTCCGCTAAACACTAACTTTCATTCTTCTCTCCCTGGTCTCTGATAACCACCATCCTGCCTTACGTCTCTATGGATTTGATTATCCTAGGGTCCTCCATAAGTGCAATCACATTTTATGACTGCCATATTTCATTCAGCATAGTGGTCTTAAGGTTTGCCCATGTTGTAATGTGTCAGAATTTCCTTTTTGAGGCTGAGTAATAATACATTGTATACGATTAAGTGTTCTTTTAAATATGAGATTTCCAAAACATTCAAAAGAATAAAATACCTTGGGATAAATTTAACCAAGGAGGTGAGAGAAACGAATGCTGAAATCACAAGGCATTGGTGAAAAATGGAAGATCTACTAAAATGGAAAGACAGCCCACGTTCATGGATGGGAAGACAGTCTAGTTGGGATGGCAATACTCCTCAAATTGATCTACAGATCTTATGCAATCCCTATCAAAATCCAACCCCCGCCTGTTTGCATAAATGGAAAAGCTGTTCCTCAAATTCAGATGGACTTTAGTGGCCTGAATGAGCGTAAGAATATCAAAACAGAAAAACAAGGTGAGGCACTGGCTTTAGGATAGATTGAAAACCAGTGGAATAGAACTGAGAGTCTAGAAATAAATGCAGACATCTGTGGCCAGTTGACCTGGGCACCAAGACCATTCACTTATGAAAGGACATTCCCCTGCTGGGTCAACCAGATGGTCTCATGCAAATAACAGAGTTGGACCCAGTGATGGCTAGATTTATGTCTCAACTTGGCAAGCCTTCAGTACCCACTTAGATGGCCAAATACCATCTGGATGTTGTTGTAAAGGCGTTTTAAAGATGAGATTAACATTTAAATTAGTAGACTTTGAGTACAGAAGATTGCCCTCCACCCTGTGGTGGTCCTCATCTTTAAGTTGAAGGACATAGGGAAATAGACTGAAATCCCCTGTGTGATAGAGCATTCTCCTTTAGAAGGCTTGGGACTCACGAGAGTGTTAGCTCTTCTCCGAGTCTCTAGCCTGCCTGCTGGCCTGCCCTGCAAATTTTGCCAGGCTCTCCGGCCTTGTCAACCAGATCCTTAAATTAAATGCCCCTCTCTCAGTCTTTGCTCTTCATTTCTGTGACCAAATTGCCTGATACAAACAACTTAGGAAAGGAAAACTTTACCCTGGCTCATTGTTTCAGTGGATCCAGTTCATTGTCAATCAGCTGCCTTGGTCTTGGCCCGAGGTGAGCCAGAACATGATGATAGAGGGCACGGTGGAGGGAAGGTGGAGGGATTTCTTTGCTTCCTCAAAGCCCCACCTCTGAACAAATGAGGCTTTGGGGGACATTCCAGATTCAACCCCCCCATCTGTCTCCCTCTATGTACCTTCCTCCCTCCCTATCCCCCTTTCTCTCTCTCTGAATAATGCAGGGGGTAAATCTTCATGTTCATGTATTTTGTAGTGCATTATTTCATTTAACACCAAAAGCATCAATAATGAAAGGAAAAATAAGCAAATTGGACTTCATTCAAATTAGCTTTTGTGTATCAAGGGATATTATCATGAAAGTGAAAAGAAAACCTAAAGGATAAGAGGAAATATTTTAAAACCATGTATCTGATAAAGATTTAGTATCCAGAATATATAAAGGACCCTTACAACTTAACACAGAGACAAACAGTCCTATTAAAAAATGGGCAAAGTCATGTACCGTTGCATGCACTGTAATCCTAGCTACTTAGGAGGCTGAGGCAGGAGGATCACAAGTTAGAGGCCAGCCTCAGCAACTTAATGAGATCCTCTTTCAAAAAATAAAAGGCCCCAGGGTGTAGCTCAGTGGTAAATAACCCCTGGATTAAATCCCCAGTACCCCCCACCAAAATAGGGCAAAGACTTGAATAGATATTTTTCCAAAGAAGATATGCAAATAGCTAACAAGCATGTGAAAAGATGGTCAACATCACTGTCTAAAGAAATGCAAATCAAAGCCTCAGTTAATGCCACTTTGCCCACTGGGACGGCCACTATACAGAACACTGAAAGAAAGAGATATGGAAGAGCAGGGATCCGTGTGTGCTGCCTGTAGGAGTGTGAAGTGGTGCGGTGCTGTGGAGAACAGTCAGATGGTTCTGTGAACAGACAATTGCATGACCCATGTGGTGACACTACCCTGCTAGGCACATCCCCAAGAGAAATGTAAGCACACCACGCTCACACACTGTTGTTTATGGAGGAAACCACCCAACGGGCGCTGGGATGAATGGGTAAAGACATGGTGCGCACAGCGGACGTGACTCAGTTGTAAGGGCCACGAAACACTGGCACACGAAGGGACCTTGACACGTGGTGCTGAGTGAAGGCAGCCAGACTTATACAGTCACCTGCCCGTTCATTCCATTGCAGGAAGTGTCCCGAACAGGTGATTCCCTAGAGGTGGAGAGTAGACCAGGTTGCCCGAGGCCAGGGGATAGTGGGGCGCTGAAGGAGGTCTTCTGGGGTTTTGAAGAGACCTGGAGCTGGTGAGCACAGTGCATGGGAGCTTATTCAATGGCACCACCGTGCACCTGGAGACGGTCAAGTGTGTGCTGTGTGAGTTTCATCTGCAAGCTAAAAAGAAAGATAGACAGACAGACAGACTGGCCAGTGGGGGGCCTGGGCCTGATCCATCTCCAGACGTTCCCTCCCAGGTTTGCCTGGGCTGGTGGGCCTTCTGTGTGCCCATGCCTGCCAGCCTGGCTCTGGGTACTGCCCTGCTCCTCCTTGGAAAGGCCTGCACTTGGCTGTGGTCTGCAGGGGTGTGGTGCCTGTGTCCCCAAGCCCTGGGGGGCAGCAGCTATGGTGGCAGCTTCCTGTGATGCTGACAGAGGTGCCCTTGGAGCTGGGCAGGCTGCACAGTGCCTGGTGGGCTGTGGGAGCAAACGTGTCGTCATGGAATTGGGGCTGCCTAGGGGGCACTGAGCAAGGCTGGCCTCAGCAGGCACTCAGCAGAGTGCCAGGAAGTGACGGGCAGAGAGCCCAGTCCTGGCAGGGCGGGCCTGTTGGGCCATGGGCACTGTGCTAGAGGACAGCTTCCCCAGGTGGAGTGGTGGCGAGGGGTGACCCACACGGGGCCTCAGTACTCCAACTTGCTTTTGGGGTAGACAGGTTGGGGCTGCCTCTCATAAGCCTCCATAGACAAATTCAAACACAACGCCAGTTCTTCCGTTTCCAAGGAGATAGGTTTTACCAGCAAACCTTGATGCTGATTTCTCCGATTGCAATGCTGATGGGTACAAGTATGTTCTTCTGATTATTTTATGACTACTCCCATGAACACAAGCTAATGAACTTCAAAGATGATGAAGTCTGGGTAATCATTTTAATTGCCTTTTTCTAAACTTGTTTAGGACCTGACCCAGGCCCAGGCCCAGGGCCAGGGCCAGGCTGTGCTGACCAGTGTTGGGCCAGCCACAGGGTGTAAGCTGGGCTCCCAGCTTACCAGGCCTTCAGGGCTAACCACACTGGCTTTGTGTCTCAACTGCAGTGGCCTCGTGGTCTATGCGGATGGACCCCTGAACCTGGACCGCAAGGTGGAGGACATGTCCGAGCTGTTCCGTCCCTTCCATTCATTGCTACGGAAAATCAGGTGGGACTTGGGGGCAGGCAGAGCGGGAGGAGCAGGGGCTGAGTCCAGTGCTCAGCCTCTCCCAGTCTCCTGGGTGTTGTGTGGCCTTGTGGTGGCCAGAACCAGCCTGCTCTTGGTCCCCACTGGGCCTCTCTAGCTGAGTGGTCCAAGTGCGGAGCCTCACACTGCCCACCTTGCAGGCACCAGGCACTCATGGCTGGCCCTCTCTTCTCCTACACCCTGATGCTCCCCTCCAGTGCCCACAAGTTGGTTGTGGTCTTTAGTTGTTGGCTGCAAGGTTTGTGCTGCTGTGTTGGAGCCCTTCTGAGACTGCACACGTTCTATTGTGTGACTGAGGTCTCTGCCCGGTGCCTCCCCGAGCTGACAGGGCCCAGCAGTGAGGGCTAGCAGTGGCATGAAGGCCATGCTATCCTGAGTCCTCTGAGGGCCTCCCTGGCCTGTGGCCTTGGACACCCAGCTGTTCCTCCAAGGGCCCTGCTCCTGGATGTGATGAGGCTGGTGGCTCTGTTCCCTGCAGCCCCCTCCCTGGGTCTGGCAGGACATCCCACGGCTCGAGAATTCGCCCAGCACAGGACGGTCCCAGGCATGGCCAGCCAGGGAAGGTTCCTCTGGAGACCCAGAGAGCACAGAACCACGTCCTGGGAGGATCCAGACAGTGAACATGGCCTCGTGGGCTGTGGGCTTCCTAGTGAGAATGGGGTCTCGAGGTCATGGGACCTTGGTGGGTGGCCCTTGGTGAGTTGGTGAGCTTAGGAGGGGAGGTGCTTCATCTGGTTTGTGCTTCATGGTGGCTGTTGACTGCTTCTCTGATCCTCTGGGGAGAAGATGGGCCTTGACACAGAGGCTTAGGTCCTGCCCTCTCTGGGGAGCTATTTAGAAGAGGAGAAGTGGTACAAGAGGGGAGGTGAGGGACAGGCCAGAAGGAGGGGGCGGGGCCTCAGCAGATGGGGTTCTTGTAGGAGGGACAGGGTGGGTGCTGGGGATGTGGGGACGGCGTGGCATGGGGAGAGACCCATAAGGTGACGGGGCAGCAGCTTAGTGGTAGATTGCCTGCCTAGCATACAGACGGCCCTGGTTTAGTCCCTGATTTAAAAAAAAAAGAAAGAAAGAAAGAATAGAAAAAAGGAAGAGATCTAAAGAGTGCAGGCGTGACTGGCTGTCTTCACATCTCTTTAAAAATGTGGGCCAGACTCCTGCTTTGGGACAGGATGCCTCAGATTGCAGCAGGCTGATTCTCCAACTGCAACAGTAGGAAAAAGTAAGCTGCAAAAGTGTGTTGTAAGGTATGGAATGGTGACAGCGAGTGTCGGATGAACCAGAATTGGGAGAGCCGAGAACTCTTCCAGAGAGAAGGTCTGGCCCTCTTGCCTCGCTCTGTTTTTCCTGGGAAACATCTGATGATTCCAGGCGGGTGTCAGTGATTGTCCAAAGCTCCGTCTTCCAGGCAGAGAATCTCTTCTGAAGGAGGGAACCCAGTTGCAAGGGGCTGAGTGTCCCTGCCAGGTTCTGGGCAGAAAGCTCCCCAGCAGCGGGGGAGGCTTAGGAGACAACAGCGTGGCTGTGACACCCCTAGGCCTCCCTGTGAGACTCAGGCAGAGCTCGGTTTCCTGCAGCCTCTGGGGTCTGTGTGGCAGCAACCCTCCAGGCTCAGCAGTGCTAATAGACTGAAGCTGTCACTGGGTCCTCGATTGGCTTGGTATCTGAACTCAGTGTGGTAATGGACTCTCACACCTAACAGAGGAAAGGGGCATTCCCTTGGGTGGAGAAAGCACATCTGTCACTTCTTGATTAATACAGTGTCAATTATCTAATCTCAAATTGCTAAAAATGTGAAGTGGCAAGAAAATATAATTGTGATCAAAAGAAGAGCCAGAAGATTGATGCAGACTGAAGACGACTGGATTTTAGAGTTAATATCCACAGACTTGAACACAGTTAGGATTGCTGTATTAAAGAAAATAGAAGAAAAGGAGAAATTAGATAAGAGGATGGGGAATTTAGAGAATCAGAATCTATAAAGAAGAAACAGATCGCCTAAGTTCATAATGTGAAGATAAGGACATGGCAGATGGGCTTGATAGCGATTGGACCCAGCAGAACGCAGGGTGATGAACCTGAAGAGGGCTCAGTGGAGGAGAGCCATGGTGAAGCGCAGGGAAAACCAGGAAAAACAGGACCACTGCAGAATACCACCCGGAGAATGCACGGCACCCGCAGAGTCCCAGGGGGAGGCAGGGAGGACGGCAGAAGAAACATCCAAAGAAATAGTGGACAAGAATATTCTAAAACTGATAGGAAGAAATCTACCTGAAGATTCAGGAGGTTTAAGAAAATGCCAAGGGGCTGGGGATGTGGCTCAAGCGGTAGCGTGCTCGCC